TAAGAGAAAAATAAATGAGGGATATGTACAAGGGTGAGTGAGAGCAAGTTTTTGTGTATGTGTTTGTCCTCTATGGCAAATGTGTGAATAGCAAGACTGGAGTGGAGTAATGTTCTTCTGTGTTTATAAGCAGTGTAGGAGAATCATAGTCCATTTCTTACTTTGGGGTGGAGGGAAGAAATTAACTCTCTCTGTGTTCAGTTTTTCTTGTATAAGACTATGCTTATATAGCAACAAAGGAACATTTATCAGGTTAGATAAGTTTGTGTACAGATTTTTTTTTTTGTTGTTGTTAGACAAGGTCTTGAAATGTAGTCTAGGCTGATTTCAAACTAAGGTCCTTCTGCCTGAGCCTCCTGGGCAAGCTAGGACATCAACTTTAGCTCGTTTTCCTTAGTGAATCTTTTAAAACAAAGAAAGTAGACTCAGTCAGACTCTGTGAGAAAGGGAAGTTTAGCTTCTGCTTGTTGAAGCTGGAGTGGCATCACTTACTTTAAATCAGAAATTTTCTTTTATGTGTGATAGTGTCTCCTTATGCCTGAGGAGATGAACTTCCATCACTCATTCTCCATTCTCAGAGACCCCCTTTTTCCTGAAGCAAAGTTTGTCAAATAAGAGAAAGATCATATTTAAATCAGATCCTGGTGTTTCTCAAAAATTTTCATGATCAGAAATGTGAATTCTTTTCTTCTTAACTGTGAGATAGTCCAAGATTATTCTAAATCCTCAAATTTTCTTCAAGAAGTAGTGTCTATATAGATATAAGGTCATTTTCAGGTGCTGTTTATCTCATTTATACTTGTACTTTTCTTAACCTGTATTCTCTTCTGTCCTTGAGTCACCTTTGTCCTCTACGAGTAGCTTGTGTGATGACTGCTGATGCATGTATCTTTTGTAAATGCCGGTTAACAAATATTCTATAGATGAAGATTGGAATGCATTGGCTTGCCTGAAACTGTTATTGTCTTTGTGAATGTGCAATGGTAGTAGCGTGCAGCACTAACATCCCTTTTAATAGCTACTATTTGTTTTGTTAAAAAAAAATGCTTGTGTTTCTTACTTTATATGATTTTCTCTAGGGCCACAAATTGTAGCTGTACCATCTAAAATTTTACCAGCCGTGGCTTCTTGAGAAAATCCTGAGTTTTTGGCTGGTGGGAAGCATTCCATTTTGCTCTTGGAACTGTTCAGACAATTAGGCAGTTGCTGTCCTTGGTGATGAAGTGATTTCATATGAATTCTTAACGTTAGACACAAAGCAGGGATGTGCACTGTGTATTGTTTGTGGTCACTGCTGGTCTCTTCCTAGGTCTATTTGAACTTGTAGAAAAATACAGACTCCAGGGTCTTAATGTTTTGAGTTCCTGACTGCCAGGCAAAGGAAATGTTTAACTATTTTAATCATGTTGTTGTAGCCAAAGCAAGTCCTCATAAGAGGAAATGACAGCGTTCCACCACAAAGTTATCTCTTATCAGTTCCAGTCTATGTGGATAATGATTTGTCAAATTTGGACATGTGTAAAATGCAAGGGCTCCGTTATTTACTTTGGAAAGGAAAAATTAGATGAAGCTGATAAAAGAGTCATGGCTTTTGTTAGGAGACAGAAACCATTAGAGACAGTCATTGTTAGCTTAGGATGTGTCCTTGGGCCCCTCCCTGATGAAACCTAAGTGTGCTTGAGTCATTCTTTGCCATTTGAAGGGAGAGGAGGCAAAGGAGGGAATAAAATATGAAGCCTGCACTGCCAGAGCAGAATAAAGAACAGAATGTGGACCTTGAAGCAGACAGGTTGCTGCCGGTGTACCAGGGCAGCTGCTTTTGTCCCAGAACCCTCCACCTAGTGTTTTAAGATTTTGGAAACTACATTCCATCTTGCAGAAGAGTGACATTCCTTCACGCAGTGCTTGTTGCTTTTCTCCTCTTGCTTTCTGTAGATGTAAGTGATTCTTTTTCATTAGTAGAAGCAGAAAAAACACATCCAGCTCAAAGCAACATGAGTCAGTGCATACTTGTCATGCCTCTGTCCTCTCAGCATGCTCTGCTTCCTCACAGTGCTCACTCCTAGTGTGCTCTCAGAGGGGAGCAGGGAGGAAGAAGGGTTTCTAAATATTGGGCTGTTTGTGGAGGGAGGGAGAGTTGATGAGTTGGAGCCTCTTTTTGTTCCTTTAGTTTTTGCCTAGATCTTTTTGTGGTGCTTTCAAAGCAGACAGTAATGCTTGTACTCAGGAGAATTTATCTGTATGTTAGGTTTGGGGCATAGAAATAGTAGATCTAATACCTATTCATCAGGACACTGTAAATAGTCAGATGATAGTCTTGCTGCCAATGACAGGAAAGAACTTTTTCACCTCTCAAGATACACGTTTTAGAAAACATTAGTGGCGATAGACCAATTCTAATCTATTAGCAACAAAATGCCTTTCCTGGTTGCTAAGGGGCTATAAGCATATTTGTCACAGCTCCCTAGGGAAATGCCCCTTACTATTGATGCTTATTCTGTAAGGATGGCTCTGACAAGTCAATGGGCCAAGGTTCAGTCTTAGAAATGGCTTTCAGTGGTTTCCTTTTTGAGAGAAACCACTCTGTGGTTTTGGCTCTGTGACAAAAGTGAACCTAAATAAACAAACTATGTGAGGAACCTGTGAAACAAGGCTGTGGTTGAATTTGCTGGTCAAAATTAGACAGGAAAAGTTCTCTATACCTTTTATACACTTTAGTAACCACAGTTATTCTAAATAAATAATTTCATTTTCTGTATAGATTCTTTTTTACTCTATTTCCTTTGTCTTTTTCATGTGTATACATTTTTATGTAGTTTAAATACTATTTTAACTGGGGACATCGCCTTGGGCTCCTGGGAGCCACTCTAGGTTCAAGTCTCTTGCCAACCCTAAGGTGGCTCCCTTAACTAAGAATTGTGCTTCCGTGCTCCCCTATCCATCCTTCCTTTATCCCAATCATCCTTTTTCCCCAAGTTCCCCCCATCCTCCCCTTCTCCCTTTTCTTTCCCCATCTCCCCTTACCCCCATCCCACCCCACCCTCAAGATCCCAATTTTCTCCCCGGCAATTTTGTCTACTTCCCATAGCCAAGAGGATAACTATATGTTTTTCCTTGGGTTCACCTTCTTACTTAGCTTCTTTAGGTTCACCAATTGTAGACTCCGTGACCCTTATTTATGGCTAGAAACCAATTATGAGTGAGTACATCCCATGTTCATCTTTTTGGGTCTGGGTTAAATCTTTAAAATTTTTTCTTTTATTGTTGTGTTTTCTATAGCTTTAAACTCTTGTTTTCTGGCAAGATAAATTTCCTTAAACCTTTCATGCTGCCTTCATATGGAGGGGATTGCTCGCTTGACATAAGAGACCTCATGACACAGAGTCTTTTGGCTCCCACAGCAGCTATTTTGCCTGCAGAGGCCTCAGCACTCTTAAAGCTTAAATAGGGAAACCTAAAATTTGCCTGGCAGAGTGAAACAAAAGGTAGAGTGCCGGGTGGTTTCAGCCAGAGAGCAGTGAAATACAATCTGTAGGAAAAAGACCATTTTCATTATGAGAAGAGTCTTGGTTAGAGAAGCTGTGCCCCGAAGAAGAGATAGTGTTTGCTTTATGAAAGAAAGGGAATCAGCACTGTAACGATGAGTCAGCCTATCTCATCTACTGTTTTTGTGCTGGTGTTTTACATAGTTACCATTGTGACAGGAAAAACCAGCTAGATCTTTATTGTACTTCTGTATTTTTCTTCTTTTTGTTTCATTTTGTGTAACGTGTATTTGCAGGTCCCTTTTTATTCTTGTTGAATTTGTGTATGACAAATGATAGTTTCCTTTCTCGTTTAAGGAAATTTAGATCAAACCTCATTCCTTGTCAAGTCATCTAGCAAATTCTTATTAGTTCTGAAAATTGATTTCAGTTCTTACTTGATTTTTACTTTTTATTTTGATGTTTAAGTTTAGTCAATATATCATTCATTATTCACTAAATTATTATTATAATTATTCACTATTCATTAAAGTCTGTTGAGTAACTTCTTGGTTTGGCTTTTCCATTTGTCATCTCACTTTTAATACAGTGTACCCTCCTTTTGTATCAGTTCTGTATTTTGATGAAAAAGACAAGCATTTTAATACTTACTCCCTTTAATAACTGGCCATTAAAAGTAGTCATCTTGTATAGCACATTTGCCTTTAACCACTCAAACTTGAGTTTCATGTAATCTCTATGCATTTTAGAAGGTGACTCATGTCACCAAAGTCACAGCTCCATTTTTATGCTTTCTCTGTTGATCCTTGACTCAGGGCTCAGTGTCTCTGAAGACAGTGAAAGCAGTTTCTCTTTTCATCTCTCTGGGACTGTGCCACCTAGACCCTCTCAATACAGCTTGTGACTAGAAAAGAAAGCTAAGCTTTTGGGAGCACCCCCCATTCTGTGCCTCTGTCTCTCACTCTGTCTATCTCTCTCTGTCTCTGTGTCTCTGTCTCTATATGTCTCTCTGTCTCTGTCTCTCTCTGTGGTATTTTTGGACTACCTAAAAATGACCATGAACTCTTGATGTTCCTGCCCCCTTCCCAAGTTTTAGAATTACATTACAGATGCGTGTTTTGCTTGGGAATGTGACTTTTATTTTGTTAAGGTTTTTCTTTTTTATTTATACGTATGTATGTGTGTTTCTGTGTATGTATATCACCTGTGTGTGGGTGTTCATGGAAGCTAGAAGAGGGTGTTGGATCTCTTGGAACTGAGATTACAAGTGATTATGAGTTATAGCTTGTGGTGCTGGGAATTGAACTCAGGTTTTCTGAAAGAGCAGCAAGCACTCTTAATTGCTGAGCCATCTCTGTAATCTGAGAACATTTACTCTTATGTTTATTTTGAATTTTCCTCTTAGAATATAAAGCTGGCTTTGAAAGCAAATCACTGTTTGAGTAGTAAAAATAACGTTAATACAATTTTTCCATAATACTTTTATTTGATATTTTTGTAATTGTATGCTTCTAGGTACCCGGGGCTCAAGACTTGGTGGATTTCTCTCCTGTATATCGGTGTCTGCACATATATTCTGTCCTGGTGAGTCTTTATATGACCTTCCTAATAAAGAAATGTATTGAATCCAAAATTCTGATTTATTATTATTTTAATGTGTTTTTAAACAAATTTTGTTTGATGAGTATTAACTAATTCTTCTGCTCTTGCTTGAATCTTGTTTCTGTTTGCCTTGTAAAATGCTGTATAGCTGATGACAGCTCAGGCAGCTATTAATAGATTGTAGGTTATAAGCAGAATAGTTACATGTATTCAGTTGCTCTGTTTCTAAGTTGACATATTCAACCTTGAATAACTTACTTTTTATACATTAAAGTGCTTATGAAAAGTACTTACATTTTAAAAAATTCCTCTTCTATAAAACACTGGTAAAATAAATTTTTCAAAAGGGCGGTTCTGTGGTATTAATAGAGTGCTAGGAAGTGGCTGTGTCCCTACTGTGTCCATGCGCCTGCCTATGGAGCTATGGGCAGACAGACCCTGGTGAGTCCTGAGTACAGTGTTCGTATACTTGCATTTCTCTGAGTGGTGGTATAAAACTGTGCCTTTCTTTGTAGATGAATTAACCACTTTCTACCCATTTCTAAACCTTGGTTAGTATTTTATTTTGGGTTTCTTTTTTTTCTTGGAAGGAGAAATTTTAGAAATTCCTTCTGTGTAGTTGATATTGACAGTTTTGGATATTGTAAATATCCATCCAGTTTGTCTCTGTACTACAAACTGTTTATGTTCCTTGAAATGGACATTTTTAATTTTGAGGTAATCAGGACCATCAGTTTTAAACTTATAGTTCATAATGTTTGAACTCCCATAAAACAACCAAAAATAAACCTAAACTAACACACAAACAAGCAACTATCCTGCCAACCTCAAACCAACACTCTCCAAAGCCTCCTGTTTCAGAGTGACAGTATTCCCCTTGCATTATCTTCAGTGTTTATCATTCACACTGTGCTGATTACTCATTAGTGTCTCTTCTGTATGAAATGGATTGGGAAATGTCTGGATGTCTAGGGAAATGAGGATTTGTACTTTAGATGGTTGCAGTATGCCAGGATGGAAGTGCATTCTTGGGATGATGGTAATGTGGAAGTGTGTTTTACCACTGTGTGCTGTCTTTTATAAGCTTCGTTACGTTTTTATGAAAACGGAACAAATCTGCCTCGAGTGGGAATTCTAACAGAGTAGTAAAATTGCTTACATTTACTAGCTGTGTGTGTTAGGGTGGTCTAGCAGTTCATGTATGAATTAGGATAATAATTTCCTGTTTAGTGCTATTATTGACAGTGAAATAATGCCACCTCAGACCTTAGCAAATGATTGGCATTTAGTAAATGGAGATTGTTTGGTTAGATGATGTTGTTTTCGATGCTGATATATAGATGCTGTACTAGTGTTTGCAGAAGCATACACTATGATGTATAGACATGTGTAGAGGAGGTCTAGACTCTTTTTTTTTTATTGAGAAAAGGAGAAAATAAAAAAAACAAGTTTCCACCATAAAAAAACAAGACTCTTATTAACAAACAAATTGACAAGATGGTTTTCTTAATTAACAATGTATTTCTTAGCTACCAATAAGCATGTAGGCTTAACTTATATGAGAACTAGAGTCTGTTGGTTTAGACATGATCAAATGAGAAAATTGTCTAATTGGAATAGGATTTTACACATTAGTATTTGAAATGGTTACATATTTGATACTCACAAATTTTCTATAACAATGTCTAAGGCACTGTTTCCTTGCTGTGGTTTAGAAATTCACAGCTGATTATAGGAGGAATTCAGCTCCATAGTATTTTTGAATATATCTTTCTAATTTAGACATTCCTGTTTTAGACTTATGGTGACTCTGAGTAAAATCCAACACCAGTTTTACTACAGGGTGGTGAGATAATGTGTAATCTAGGGCTGAATTCATTGAGCTGAGGCTATAATCTTGTCATTACATAAAACTGTGTTCAAGTCAGCTGTGCATATTACTTCATGGTAAAGTACAGCTCCTCACAGTATTAACAAGAATATTTTAAAATGTTACTGAACATAAATATTTATTACAATATTCTCATTTTCTAATATAGTTAATATTAATCTTAGGCCTCGCGAAAAAGAGGATTTGGGAACTGAAAATGGAGAATAAGAATTTAAACTATATAGTACTGATTCCGTCCATTCCCATATTGTCTTCATCTCTTCATTCTGATCAATCTAAAGTCCTCTCTTCTTTCTTGTCACTCTCTGAGTGTATCTTGCAGTACCTGGACTTTACTGATAGTTTTTACTTCTCATCCTTTAATGTAATTTTCTTCCTTTACATGATGGTTTTCATCCTCCCTGGCAGCCTTTCTGATATTGCTGCCTTACTTTGGTGTTTGTCAGCTCATCTTTTTTGTACCCTTCACTGTTCCAGGGTTCTACCTGTACCACTGTTCTGTTTCTTGCTGTTGTTAAAAGTTCACGTGCCAGGACTGAGCATGGACTGCGTGGTAGAGTATGTGTTTAATACTGTGGGAGGATCTGGGCTTAGTCTCCTCTAGAGACAACAGCAACAAGCAAACAAACAGAGAAACCAGTTCATGGCTCTTTAGAGGTCTTTCACATTTCTTGCTTCTTACCCTCTTGATTTCAAATTCTGAAGCATGTTTTCGTTGTCATCCTTTCTGCATATTAGTCCTTTTACGTCAATCACCACTCCCATTTCATTGCTTTTCTTTTTTCATTCTGTTTCATTTTAATTTTCTCATTCTTACTTATTTTGCTAATATTGCGGACTGAGCTCAGTGGATATGTATTCCCTAGGGTCTGATGTGTGTCTCTGTGTTTATAGCATTAATCATCATATTTAGTTGTATTCTTCATCAGTAAATGGAAAGCCCATTTAGGACAGGTATAGTGGTGGTTCTTCTTCTTCTTCTTCTTCTTCTTCTTCTTCTTCTTCTTCTTCTTCTTCCTCTTCCTCTTCCTCTTCCTCCTCCTCCTCCTCTTCTTCTTCTTTCTCTTCTTCCTCTTCTTCTTCCTCCTTCTTTTGTTTCACCACTTAGTATTAGCACTATATAATATTCAGTGCTTGCTTTTTTATTGTAAAAGATAGCCACCCTTCTTTTAGCCCTCAAGAAAATCCAATATTCTCATCTCAGAACTTGCTATTCAATATCAGGGCTTTATACAGGAGGAAACAGGTCTATTGGTGTTCAACGGAAGAATCATAACACAAGTAACAAAAAGTTCTAATATTTTGTCATTTACAATAGTGTTTATCTGAACTTTTGGCCTGGAACATAACAAGGCACACTTTGAATAAACATGGCAATATTTATTATTTTTAGTGAAACCGACCTTCCATTCACCCCCCTTTATGGCTGTGCTGCTTATAAATTCCCAAAGGATTATTTGAAAAATCCTACTTATATCTGCCAGCCTTATCAGTAGGGCAGAAGTTCATGTATTGTAACAGGAGGTCAGATTTCGGTCATGGTCTTATAGATGGGGCCAAGCACCTGTAAATTCTTCCTTTGGTGACTAAAGTGAAGTACAATATCAAACAGGCAGTGAGACTTTTCTAGGAAGTGCTGAACTTTGGCAGGAAGGGCAAAGTTTGGTGGGTGGAGGGGAGGGAAGAAAGTGAACAAGGGTCAGATAGTGGCGGAGACGTGGGTCTTGATGTAATCATACAATGGAAGTGTGTGGGAGCAAAGGTAGATGCATTGTGTGGAATTGTTTTAAACAATTGATATGGTTTAAATCTTCAATTTACGACTTACAAACATACAGTTTAGAGATCGACAGGTGAGGAAATAAAACGTCACAGTCATTAGAGAAAAAAATTAAAAAGGAAAAAACAAATTCAAAGTCCTCCTGTTAAGGAAGCGATGGATAATAATAACTGGGGTTGTTGTACATTGTGCATTGTTCCTGTAAAGATGGATGGACTGTCTGTCTAGTGAATAATGAGTTTGCCTTGCATATTTTGTGAAACCTTTATTGACCCAAGGTTATCTGCCATGTTTATGAGTTCCAACTTTTAATTTAACTTCAGTACAGACAGTTTGCATGTACTAAGCTCCTTTATATACTGAAGCATCTTTCTTGGTCATCTTGAGGTTAGCTATGCTAACGCATCCTATGAACAGCATGTAAGAAGATGCTTGGGTGTCATTAAGGGTGCAGAGAAGTGTGAATATAGTCAGGCCCATAGTTCCTGGGTTTCATTTACGATCTTCCCTCCTAGTGGCATTGTGGTCTCCAATGAACTGTTATTATATGTTCATTAACAATTTAAATTCCCATATTAAAAATGTTGGTGAAATGTGCAACTTTGATTTATGTATTTTTCACCTGTGTGTTATCCTATAATAAAAAGTTTACTTTCTGGATTTCTGACATCTTGGGTTAACAATTATAGCAGTAATCCAGATGTTAATGCACACAGCAACCCTTTAGTATTACATGAATCTTAAAAAATGTAGTTCTGTCCTTCAAGAGCAATAGGAGACTGTAGTGGAATATAGGAGAGAGTATTGTTCTGTAAAGTAACATTACTAATGAGCTCTAGCAAGTGCAGTTTTCCTAGATAAAGTAAATCAGAAAGTTGAATGAAGTTGTGATGTCTTTAACCCAAGTGAAATGCTCATGTGTACATTTATTTTTTTTTTAAATAGAGTTTATGTAGTCAAGGAGCCTTCATCTTGAAATCCTCTACCTTGGCCTCTGTGCTAGATTATAGGCATATATCAGGATGCTGAACTGTACATATAACATTTTGATTAAACTGTCAGACTTCTTCATCTCCTTGAGTCTTACCCACAGACCTCAGAAGAGCCCATCAATGGTTGAGTCAGGTTGCAGCTGTCTGCTGAGTACGAACCTGTGCCCTAGAATAGCAAGTGCCAGGTCTTCTTGAGTACCCTCTGTGTTAAGCTCCCGGACAGCTTGGTTTTTCTTTAGATTCAAATGCCTTGTCCAGTCTAACTGTAAAAAAATAATTTCAAAGTGACATTGTTATTGTATCATAAATCTCTTTTTCC